GCATTGAAAATTGGGTAGGGCAAATGTTTTGTTAGTGGGATGAATTGTAAAGGACCTGCCTAGTACGGGCCAACAGGCCTGCTGCAGTGTTCCTCCTTTCTTATGTTCTTATGTTCTTATGACTCAAGGTTGAGGGACTGATTACCTCATGTCCTCCTGTTCTTCAAGTTTCTCCTACGTATGGACTGATGAAGCCACTGTGTGGCAAAACGTTTCCTCAGTAAAGATACCCAAGAGTTGCACATGTGTCTAATTTATCAACATGTCGGTTCTCTGAACCATTCATCTACAAACCTGTCAGACACTGCAACTTCTTGGGATCTTAATACTTAGGAATTCTTCGCTTGCCTAATTCTTGGGCACGACCTACTTCCACATTGAACAAATGTGACACCACCTATGACTGCTGCACCTCTCCTGCCATACGGTTTATAAGCTGCTTCTCCGCTCATATGCCGTATTCTATTCAAGATTGATGGACTGAACACATCGACTCTAGGTTGATGGACTGATTACCTCATTCTCCTCCTGTTCTTCAAGTTTCTCCTACGTATGGACTGATGAAGCCACTGTGTGGAGAAACGTTTCCTCAGTAAAGATACCCAAGAGTTGCACATGTGTCTAATTTATCAACATGTCGGTTCTCTGAACCATTCATCTACAAACACGAGTAGGTGCACAGATGTTTACTCAGTAAGTATAGATCCAGGTACGCACGAGTAGGTGCAAAGACATAGGCACAGTACTCTCGGTACAGGCTCTCTCAGTACGTGGCAGCATGAATGTGAAGAGTCTACGATAGGCCCAAAAGCCTGGTAGTGAGATTATCCCTCCCTCTCCTCCTCCCTCTCCCCTCTCTTGACTCGGGTAGCAAGATAGTAATGCACACATGCACACACACACACCCTACCATAATGGACAAGTCTCACATACCCACTCATACCCACACATACCCACAGTTCACACTCTCCTTGTAACTCCCCTGCCTCTCTCTTTCCCTCAATTCTTCCCCCTGCTCCTCCTCCTCCTATACTTCCTCCATCTTCCCCCACCTCCCCCCATTCCTCCCTACCTACCTTCCCAACCTCTCTCTTTCCCTCCCTTCCTTCTCCTATACCTCCTCCATATTCCCTATTCCTTCTACCTATCCTCCATTCTCCCCCTCCCTCTCCCCTCGCCTCCTAGGCCTGCAAGCACCCAACCCACATGCTCCACACTAACACTCCCTCCCCCCTCTCTCTCTTTCTCTCCCTCTCTAACTCACACTCAACCACACTATCTCTTTCTCTATCCTCCTCTTCCTCTTTCTCTAACCCTCTAGCTCACACTCAAACACACTCTCTGTCTCTTTCTATCATCCTCCTCCTATACCTCCTCCATCTCCCCCCCTCACCTCCTCTTCCTTCTCATCTTCCCTCTCCCCTCACCTCCAAGGCCTGCAAGCACACTAAAGGCTGATCTTCCCCAACTCATATGCTCCACACACTCTGACTCTCCCTTCCCCCCTCTCTCTCTAACTCACACTCCCTGTCTCTCTTTATCCCACTTTCTCTCCCTCTTCATCTTCCTTCTCACCCTCCCTACTCCTTCTACTCTTCCCCCATGTCTCTTTCCCCTGCTGCTGTCCCCCCTCCAGCTCACTATCCTTTTCCCCTCCCTGTCTCCGTCTCCCTTCTCCCCACAACAAATACCCCTCCCTCCCCACAACAAACACCCCCCTCCACACCACTTTTGGCATAAGCTCTTCCTCCTGTGAAAAAGAAACATGGGACACCAAAAACCTGGATGGAGAACCAGAAGAATGGTGGATGAAGCGAGTGGTGGACCTGGGAGAGAGGACTGGGAGGCAGAGCTCACGTGAAGAGAGGAGTGGGGGAGGAGGCTGGAAGAGATCAGCAAGAAAATGGAAGAGAAAATAGCTGAGGAGAGCAGGAAATGGGAATTACAAATCACAGCAGCTGAAGCTAAGATACAGAGCTTAGTAGAAGAACTAATGAGCCTGAAACAGCCTAAAGAACCAAAGGACAGCACAGCCATGACACCAAGAGCTACTACATCAGTTACTGATGAGGGGACAGTTGGGGACAAAGGAAATATACTGTACACAATGACTCCATCGGACCCAAGGGGGTCCTGGGAAAAGGCAGAGAGAACAGCAAGAACTAATGAGGGGACTAAAGTCAATGAAGGAGCTAAGCTATACACAGAGGCTCTAACAGACAACTGCCATGTCCAGGAGCAGATAAGCATAGGGACACCGGATAGAGAAGAGACAGTAAGAAGCAACCCATCAATGGCAGGAACTAATTTAAACCAGAGGATGCTCAGGGAAGCACAGTGGGAGGATGAAAGGAAGAGGGCCATTTTTGTCTATGGGCTCCAAGAAGTAGATGGGGAAACTTACGAGGCTAGGAAACATGGGGAGAAAAAAACGATTGAAAGCATCATGAAAGCAATAGGATAGGACGACATGACCCAGCTGACAAATTTTCGGAGAATTGCATGGTTTGTGAGGGGAATAAAGTGTCCAGTCAAAGTGATTTTCAAGGCATAGTCAGCTCGAAACCGGATCCTGCAGAAGAAAGCGCACTTAAGGGACAATCAGACATTCTGGAGTGTGTACCTCGACCGAGACAGAGCACAAGAAGAAAGAATGACACTGAAAGAGAGGGTGCAACTTCGCAAGGAGGAATGGGAGGCAAGGAAGGTGAAGAGCAGGAGAAATCAGGCCCACGTGGAAGAACAAACACAGCCTCCTCCAGTACCACCCACAGAAGGAATACAACCATGGCAATCCCAAAGCACTCAAACGACCTAACACAAAACCCGCTCACTGTACCCTCTGCTCCCATCCCCCCAGCACAAACCCCACCCCCACTGAAACCCACAGTAACCCACACATCCCCCTCTGCATAAACCCCATGCCCACAACAACCCTCAGTAACCCACACATCCCCCTCAGCTCAAACCCCAGCCCCACAGAAACCCACACAATGTACCCTCTCTCCCCATCCCCCTCACCACAAACTCCACCCTCACAGTAACCCACAGCAACCCACACACTGTACCCTCTATCCCCATCCCTCTCACCACAACCCCCTCCGCTACTGCAACCCCCCATAGGCCCTCTCCCCCATCCCCCTCACCACCACCCCTGCCCCCACTGAAACCCCCATAGGCCCTCTGCCCCACACCCCACACCACAGACCCACCCCCACAACAATCCCCTATAGGCCCCTGCCAGGGCACCTGCTCCCCCTAACCCACCTCTCTTCCCAGACCACAGTTATTGAAAAGAAGTTGAAGGTTTGGTACATGAATGCGGATGGAATAACAAATAAATGTGAGGAGTGGCATGAAAGAATGGAGGAGATGTCCCCACACATCATAGCGGTTACAGAAACAAAACTCACTGGGATAATAAGAGATGCAATCTTCCCACCCAGATATCAAATCCTGAGGAAGAATAGAAGGAGCAGGGGGGGGAGGAGGGGTTGCACTACTAATAAAATACTGGTGGGGTTATCAAGAAATGGAAGGAATGGACGAAATTGGAGAAAGGGATTACATAGTAGGTACAGTTCAGTCAAGGGAACACAAGGTAGTCATTGCAGTGATGTATAACCCACCACAGAACTGCAGGAGGCCAAGAGAGGACTATGATGAGTGCAACAGAGCAATGGTGGACACACTAGCTGAGGTGGCAAGAAGGGCTCACTCGAGTAGAGCGAAGTTAATGGTCATGGGCGACTTCAATCACAGGAAGATTGATTGGGAAAACCTGGAGCCACATGGGGATCCCGAAACATGGAGAGCCAAGATGATGGATGTGGTGCTGGCAAATCTCATGCACCAACATGTTAGGGATACTACCAGAGAGAGAGGGGAAGTTGAACCAGAAAGACTGGACCTTGTGTTCACCCTGAGTAGCTCAGACATTGAGCACATCACATATGAAAGGCCCCTTGGAGCTAGTGACCATGTAGTTATGAGTTTTGAATACATCATGGAGCTAAAAGTGGAGATGGTAACAGGAGTATAAAGGGAAAAGCTAAACTATAAAAGGGGGGACTACACAGGAACTAGGACCTTCCTGCAGGAGGTTCAATGGGAACAGAAGTTGGTAGGAAAATTAGTAAACGAAGTGATGGACTTTGTAACAACAAAATGCATGGAGGCAGAGGAAAGGTTTGTTCCCAGGGGTAACAGAAATAATGGGAAGGACAGAACGAGCCCTTGGTTTACCCGAAGGTGCAGGGAGGCAAAAACTAAGTGCAATGTGGGATGTGGGATGTGATAGTGAGGAGTGGTCTAGACCCTTTATATGCCTTCCTTTGATGCATTACTTGAGCAGCATATGTCGCATTATTGTAGAAACCTTTCTCCCTCGGGAGCCAGAGACGGGTCATCGCAAGATTGAGACCCGTGCCAGGACTACGGTCTTGGCGAACATTATACATACATACATATTACTTCACGATCGATCACTTCACTCCTCTCACACCACACAGGTCCAGCGTTAGCACGATCGACACCATGCCCAGCCCTTCTAGGGCAGGGTTGGTGCCTGAGCCCGAGCTTGTAGCTCACAAGATGAGGGGGTATTTGTGCCTCCTCCCATGGGAGACTTAAGTCTCAGACACTCCCTAGACAGGGAGCCAGTGCCGGGCCACCGCTTGGAAGGGCCCGGGCCGGGAGAATACCGGCGAATGTTTAACAACATTACTTTTATTGTTCCTTGATAATGTGAGTAGTCACGAAAGCGCTTGGAATTTCTCTATTCTTTCACAGTGGTTGTTTTGCATATTCTGAAATCACATGTTTACTGTGATCTTATTGCATATGCGATATATATATATATATATATATATATATATATATATATATATATATATATATATATATATATATATATATATATATATATATATCCTTCATCTTGAGACATCTATATAAACTATTAGCTTGGGGTAGAATTACAAATTACAAATGATAACTCGTTATGTTTCACATTTTATTCATGAACTGTGACAAATAAATGCTAAATCTCTGGATTAAAAGTGTTTGTTCTGTTATTAATAACTATTTTGAAAGCTTTGAAATTCTTAGATATGTAGTGATCACAAAAAAAAATTATACATTAACAGTATTTGGACAATATAACGATAAAATGCACATGTATTTTATTTTCACTTTTAACGTCCAACTAGTGCTTGATCATATTACCAATGTTTTTTATCACCATCTGAAGTCGCCTGGGCATCGATGAGGCGAGGGTGGAGAAGAGGTAGGCGTCCATGTTGATCCATAGGTACTTCAGTGCCTCCTTCAGGTAGGTGATGTTGGTGGGTCGAAATTTTGCAGTCTCATTTTTCATCATATGTCAGGCATTCTCGATAGGATTCAGGTCAGGGAATTGCCTTGCCTCTCCAAAACACGGACATTATGGGGAGGAGCGCCATCATGAATTAAAAAAATCACACTCGTAAATGTTCCAAAATGTCAGCATGTGGTCCCTTAACATTTCGATATAATTAATTCCCTTCATCGTAATGTTCTTAGGAAGAAAGTAAAGTCCACCTCTGCCCTTATAACCACTAAAAAGACCATAACACTATCAGGGTGCTTCACTGTCTTCACGGCATACCGCGAGTCATAACGGGACACACCACTGGGACGATGGACGGTCTTAGAGCCGCTCTTGACGAGCCTGAAGGTACTCTCGTCGCTGAACATCACCTTCTGCCACTGGTCTGAGGTCCAATCTTTGTAATTCTTGCAGAACTGAAGCCATTTCTTCTTCATGGCTTCAATTAGCATGGGCTTCTTGGCGGCACATCGAGCAGGCATTTTCAGGTCCTTTTGCAGTCGGTGCTGAATGGTTCACACTGCGAGGACTTTCAGAAGTGCAGGATGCTTTTTCTTGGGGTCTGTGACTGTTATGGCAGGATCTAATAACACTTCTCTTCAGGATCATGTCTGTGCGAAGAGAAGTCTTTTTGAGAGCCCCAGACTTCACTTTCCTAGGTGGTATGGTGCCAGGAGGGAGTGAGGCAGCTGCTTTCTTGAAGTTGTAAATTGCCATCCTAGTCACCTTCAGGTCTGTGGCTACGGATATCACAGACATGCCTTGCTTTAATAGGGTGAGTGCACGAGTCTTCTCTACAATTAAAAGTTTAGGACGACGCATTCTGACCACTTGGAGCAGAGATATAGCTCGGCAAGGTTCGATGTCGAGTGAAAAAATGGGCAATGAGTAACAGCGTAATAATTCTCCTTCCTCATCGAGCTCTGGAAGAACACTGAAGCATGAGGTTGTGAGGAACGTTGGAGCAAGACGGGCTCCAGTACACTAAGCCATCACAAGCTTTTCCCACTTTTCTCATGGCAGGAAATTCAAGTGAAATGTATACACTAAAATCTAGTACATAGATTTTTTTTTTTTTTTTTTTTTTTTTTTTTTGCATTGGAAATGTACAAATTTTTTTTTGCGGCCACTGTAATAGCCAGTTTTGCTGTCATAATTACACTAATATAAATACATTTTGACCATAGGCTTTAACATTAATTTCAGTTACCTCAGTTTCAAGTTATCTATAACAATATCAGCCGTCCTTCACACTGTTTTCATTGCGTCCGTCTTAGTACTGGTTCACTCAATTTCCCAGCATATTCTCGAGTGTGCATGTGGTACCATCAGCAGTTGTTTATTACATGTTTGTGAAGATATTACTGTTTGTACCATTCACGTGCACATGAGTATAATCATATATATTTGTGTATTCGCCCGATTATGTATGCATTTATTAACATGATGCATGTGTGTATGTCAACTGTCGGGTTCTACATGTAATTATGCGAATTAATATGAGGTGCATTTTATTACCATACTAGCAGCTGCTTACTATGTGATGTTGCAACCTGGTTGTCGGGAAGTGCCTCAAACTGGTTACTGAAATATCCCAGATGTTGTAAAATTCATGTTGATCAGTGTAATGCAGCTATGATTGATAAGATTGTCTTCACAGAGTTCATACGTACACTGTTGTCATAGGTAATAGCGAAGCTTTTGACTTATAGAATGGTGAAGACTTGACAGCAGAGGTAATGGGGGAAGGTGAAGTGGTCTTACAGGGATTGGTAAGGATATGGTGACGGTACAGGCAATGGGAAAAGGTGAAGTGGTATTACAAGTAATGAAAAATGGTGTAATGAGTTAGAAGCTAGGAGTGCATGAGTACTTAATTATTCAAGAAATTTGAATATGTGATTCATTCTCTTTCTCATAGTTCTCCTATGATCCTTCCTAAAGACTCACATGTTTCAGTGTACAAGGGAATCTCTGTATGCACTCTCATATGTTCGTATATGTTAAATCGTCTCTTCTTACAGTTCATCCTGAGCATGATAGATATTGTGCTGGAGGGTATCGTCCTGCAGGACCCGATCAGGATACAGGATGTGGTTGATCTTCGTGGGCAGAGACGCGAAGAACTTCCTCACCTGGACAAACATAATACAAGATTAACACATTTTCATTTGTGAAGTGAACTTATTAAAATATAGTCTGACAAACAAGCATGTCTTTTTACCTGTGGTGTGCTGGTTTGTGTGCATTGTTTGTGTGTAGTGCCTTTGTGTACTGTATAGTGTAAAATGTGTTGTGTGTTTAATAGTAGTAACCATCTGTCTTGTTAAATAAACACTTAGCCTCTTGCAATTGTGTGTGTATGTGAAACTACCTATTTGTAATTACATATTTGTAATTACCTATTTGTAGTTACTTATTACTAATTTTCTATTTGTAGCTATTTGTAATAACTTATTTGTTAACGGAGCAGAGCTATGCTCGTGGTGTTTCTCCTTCAATACTCAGTTCATCTTATACTTTTTTTTTAAATTCCATAGATGCAGAACTTGGTAATTCCTTTTTTAAAATATTCCACTCGACAACCATTCTGTGTCGGAAGAAAAAAATTCTACTATTCTTTCCACTCCGTTTTTTCCTCATTTGCAACTGTGGCTTCTTGTTATTCCTGTTATGATCTTTAATGTTTTCAAACTTTCATCACAGTAGAATATTTTTTAACTCATCTTTTTTTTTTTTTTTTTTTTTTTTTAAGCAGACCCAAAAGCAACCGTGGCATATTCTAATTTTGGCCTATTATAAGCTATGAACAATTTTCTTAACACTTCACCATCCATATATGTGAAAATTATTTTATAGTTTACCAGTGTAACATTTGAGTTTCTGACAGTTTCATTTACATCATCTTCTGGTGATTTTTTTTAAATAATTACTGTAATAAAGTTGGTAGAATTACCAACAATATGAAAGTAAAAGGACACAAGTGCAATAATGTGACATTTATTGTGGCAACGTTTCGCTCTCCAGGAGCTTTATCAAGCTTGATAAAGCTCCTGGAGAGCGAAACGTTGCCACAATAAATGTCACATTAGTTGCACTTGTGTCCTTTTACTTAAATAATTACTCTTGGAACCCTTTCTATATTTGATACTTTCAATATTTTGTCACATAATGTGGCCTGATTTCACTTTCTCCCATTTCCATTACATGTATTTATCAATATTATATTCCATGATCCATATTACATTACATGTGCTCAATTTATCCAGATCATCTTGTAAATATTTAGTTATTTCCATTAATAATTTTTCATAAGACATAAGGCGGCCGGCGTGGCGGGACGTGTTGCGGGCTAGCTGCGGGATTTTCAAGGATAACTCCTGATCAAAGAGACTGACCAGGTCAAGACTGAACAGGACTCAGTGTGAATATTTTGGGAAGATTCCGGTGCAGTGAGAAGTCATTTCAGTGCATCGTTTCAACGGAAATAGTGGACGTATTGTGCAGTTTGTGTGAAGGTTGATAAGTGGTGGTACTGGGGAAGATGGCAAAGGTGGGTAATGTAAGACAAGGCCTACGCTGTGCGTGGGTGCTAGCCACGTATATACAAACCTAGAAAGGCCTTCAAAAATACATCTACCTCCAGCACTAGGCGCCAAACCTTCGGATAACTTAGAAATGAATACATGTCGATGCATGGAATAATTACAGGAATATGGTGTTGGAAGCAATAAGGTGTTGAGAGTAACTAGGTCGGGCCCAGTCAGTGTCTCCTTCCCCACGCCACGGGGCAGGGAAAATAGGCAGAATGTACTCACCTAGTTGTGGTTGCGGGGGTCGAGTCACAGCGACTGTAATGAGTTAGTAGATGTGTAGGTGGAGATGAGGGAACACACTGGATTTAAGCAGTACACATACCCACACCTTTCATGATGTACATGGGGAAGAAATAATGTTGTGTTTAGTATAAGCAAGACAGTGTAAACCACATATAGTATGCAATCCGTGTGTAGTGTACAGTAACTGCCCGCACTTCCCCTCACCCTGGGCTTCCCCCACGCAAATGCAAACGCCTCCACCATCCAACTCCTCGCTTCTCCCTCCTCCCCAACTCCCAGCAACACCCCCATGCAGGCGTCCTCCCACGCCCAAGATGTAAGCAACGTCACAAGATCTCCCAGGTTCCCTGGAATCTCCACGACAGAGCCAAAGCCATGGAATTTGTAAATGCTGCTGTAGCAGCAGTTTCGATTAAATGAATTATAATTTACGTATTTTAGCTTAAAAATTAGATCATCTGCCAGGTACGCCACAGGGAGTTTGCGCTCAATCCCTCAAATGGTAACATCCGTGCACACAACAGGTGTCTAGGCTCCAGGAGGCTCCAAGTTGGAACAACCAACAGCCTCCTCTCAGCAGACAGAGCTGACAGCTACCGTGACTTCACCTCTACAGAGGACCTAAAATCTGCAATCAAATTAACATCCACCAGGACGCTGACACACATCCCCAAAACAGCTTGCCCTCAAGCTGCTAGCATATTCGCTGACCTCTTGAAAAAAAATCAACGATGTCCCTGCAAGAAACGGATGCTTGTACAGCCTACTGCTATTTGGCAATGCCTGTTTGGCTGTCCCAGCAAGGAGGGACAAGTCAATAGCAACATCTGATATTAGGGCAATAAATGCATTTTCCAGAGATGACAACCTCGTCCGTGCTCCCTCTAGGGCGACAAACATCCGCAGGGCAAATGCCAAAAACAGAACACCTGATGCCTTAAAAATCAGAGCTCAAATTAGCAAACAAACAGAAGAGGGTAATACTACAGGAGCACTGAGGCTTATAACCAGCGAGGAAACCATTGCCCCTACGGACGTCATTACAGCACAAGCCCTGAAGGACAAACATCCACCCACAGCTCCCAGTACCAACATTGACCTCCCTGACATTACAGCAGATGAAGAACAATTAACCCAACAAGATGCTGATGTTTATAAAGCCGCTATAACATTTCCACATGGCTCAGAAAGAGGTTTCACCAGTTTAAGGCCACATCTAAAACAAATGCTAAATCCAGCACTTGGTGATGTTTCAGAGAGGCTGTTGTCTGAACTCGCCAAATTTTCCAATGTGTGCCTGGCTGGCAGTGTCCCGGAGACCATTAGACCCCTCTTCTTTGGCGCCTCATTATGTGCCCTCTGGAAAAGGGATGGAGGAATCAGGCCCATTGCAGTGAGCAACACTTTTCGGCGCCATGTTGTCAAGGCTGCAGTAAGAATGGTGAGTCAAGAGGCTGCCACAATGTTGAAATCAACTCAGCTCGGATTTGGTGTTCAACAAAGTTGTGAAGCAGCTGCCTATGCAGCACAAGCATACATCAGCAACGTGTCAGATGAAAAATCCCTAATCATATTAGATTTTGTCAATGCATTCAACTTAGTCAGAAGGGATGCTACTCTCCAAGCAGTTTCTAGTCACTTCTCTTCCTCAGTCCCTTCATACAGTCGTGTTATAGTGTGACTTCTAAACTATTATTTGGGAACCATGAAATTCATTCGTGCGAGGATGTGCAACAGGAAGACCCTCTCGCCCCTTTTCTTTTTTGTCTGGTCATAAAGGAAGTCACATAAACACTTTCCAGTGAGCTTAATATTTTGTTCTTGGGTGATGGTACTCTGGCTAGCACTACAGAATCTCTCCTAGAGGACAAAGGAAAAATTAAAGACATGGGAGAGAGCCTGGGCCTATATTTAAACCCCACCAAATGTGAAATAGTTTCTACCAATCAGTAGATTATTGTGGATGTTAGTGTTGTCTTGTCAGGAGCATTAGCCATTGATCCACCCATCAACACTCTCCTTAGTCGTCCTCAAGGACCCAATGCATTGATCTGATCCTAGAAAGGAAAATCTCAGACCTCGGGACGAATGAACGCAGGTTGAAAGACATCGATACACATGATGCCTTCTACCTACTCACCAGGTGCCTGTCCAACCCAAAACTTACCTACTTCCTGAGATGTTACCCATCCTTCAACAGTGCAAAACTCAAGGAATATGACTCCCTCCTGTAGACTATGCTAGAGAGTTTATTAAATCTTTCCCTTGAAGATGGACAGCGGTTGCAAGCCTCACTTCCAGTCAGGCTTGGGAGGCTGGGAGTACGCAAATCCTCCCAGATTGCCCTACGAGCTTTCATATCCTATTCCATAGTATCAAAAGTGTTAATAAAAAAATTCTTCCGAACAACATCAGTGACTCAGCAGGAATACAGGATCCTAGCTATGCCGGTGCCATCACTGAATGGGAGATTCTCGTTGCTCCAGCTCCAAAAACTAGTGCAGCACTGACCTACAGTCAAGTTAGGATGGCCCCCATCGCTGAAAAGGTGCCTGCCAACATGCTTAGGGATGACGTGCAGATTAGGTAAAATTAGTCAAGTAGAAAGAACTCATTTAAAATAAAGTCCATTCTAAAATTTTCTGTTATTGGTTTAAAAATATATATTTATCTAATTTATGTTAAATGGTAAAAATTAATAATTTTGTACCATAAGAACACTAGAAAACATACATAACCTCATTATAACAAATGCAACTTATTTAGGCCTAATCCAACTAAATATATTATAGATAAATTTACAGTAATTTAATAATAAACAAAAACGCAAAGAAATATATCTTTTTTGTTAGACTCAGATTGAGTTTTGCGAAATTGTTGCATAAGCAAATTTTCGCTTGCCTTATCCCGGCAAGAAGAGCGTTGCTATTTAAGCCAAAATCGCAAGTTTTATTTAATCAGCACGACATTTACACACACACACACACACACACACCACACACACACACACACACACACACACACACACACTCAAATACAACAGGCCTAGTGTCTAATCGACATGTGCCTAGGACAAAATGGTAACTACACACATACAACACACACACACACTCACACACACACACACGAAAGGTCAGATGTCTATCGACAACTAGTTTTGGAGAAATGGTTAAAACACAAAACACACACACACACATACACACACACACACATACACATACACACACACACACACACACACACACACACTCAAATACAACAGGCCTATTTGTCTAATCGACATGTGCCTAGGACAA